GTGTAAAAAAGTTAAACATGCTGATAAAACTGGAAATAAAAAGACTAAATGTTTTATATAATCAAAGATTTTTGTCATGTAAAACCCCTTCTAATTTATGGAAACTTTTCAAAGAAATTACTAACGGTAAGCGATGTATTTCTGTTCCATCTCTTAATGTTGACACTCTTAATAAATCTTTCATACGCTCTTCTGTTGATACCCTTCCAAATGATACAAATCATATTGACAATAACTTTAGTGGTTTTAATACCCTTGATGTGCTTAAATGTCTCCGGTCTCTTAAGCCTTCTCAAAGCCTTGGTCCTGACGGCATACCTGCCATTGTCCTCAGGAATTGTGCTGATATTTTGTGTTATCCTCTTACTAACATTTTTAATGCCTCTTTTTCCGGTAACGTTCTACCTTTTGCATGGAAAAACATTAAAATTATCCCTATACCAAAACCATCTTCTGGTTCTGATATTAAATTTCGGCCTATTGCAATTACTTCCCCCTTTTTAAAATTGATGGAAAAATTACTTTTACTTCGTCTTGAACCCGCTTTGAAACCTTTTAATGATCCTAAACAATTTGCATACAAACATGGTAGAAGTACCTTGGATGCTGCGGTTGTCTTATATCACAATGTTGTCTCTTGTTTAGACAAAGGTGCTAAATATGTTCGTAGTGCTTTCTTAGACTACACATCTGCTTTTGACTCTGTACCTAGGGGCCTTTTGTTAAATAAGCTATCGTTGACACAAACAGGATCCTGGGCTAAGAGTTGGTTGCATTCCTATTTTTCTGATAGAATGCAGTATACTGTATATAACGGCAAATCTTCTTCTACCTCGCTTACAAAATCCGGTGTTCCACAAGGTGCTGTCCTCTCTCCTTTTCTTTTTTCTTTCTTCCTACATGACCTGCCTCATTCAAACGAAACTAACTTTGTCAAATATGCAGATGATCTGACTGTATCACTGCCTATCACTTCCGAGTCTGACAGCTCCAAACTTAATAGCTTTCTGTTGGACATCAACAACTGGTCCAAGTCAAATGGTCTTATATTAAATCCTTCCAAATGTCAGGCAGTTGACTTTACTTTCAAGCATCGACGTGACTTACTTGAACTAGTTAACTCGCATGATCCCTGTAGCATAGATGGCACGGAAATTGAAACCAAATCAAGCATTAAATACCTTGGATTAGTTTTTTCCTCTGACCTTTCATGGTCATCCCATATCTTATCTATCTCTAAGAAAATGTTTCGTCTTACCTTCTACATTAAAAAGTTAAGACAATCAGGTATCAACCAACCTTTAGTTTTGCAATTTTTAAACTCCTGTATTTTACCTATTGTACTCTATTGCTCTCCATTAATCTTTCCTGGGCTTCTCAAAAAAGATTATATCATATTACGAAGAGTATTAAATGCTGTGAGTAGAGCTTGTGGTCTGCCACTGCATGAGCTCGCTAATACTATAGTCGAGAGGCATATAAATTCCTGTACGAAATGGGCAAAGGCTATAATGTCAGACCCTCTGCACCCCCTTTATTCACACCTGTCCCCTTGTATCTCATCAGGTAGGACGAGAAGTCAATATAAAAAGATATATGCTCGTACTACTAAGTATAGAAATTCTACAATACCCTATTTAGCGCGTACTTTATGTGACGAAGACTCTGTTAGACGTGAAACTTACAAGTTATTACGTAATTAGCACAGTGAATCGACCGTTTCATCGTTCATCTTTCTGTATTTTATGGTGTCACACTTTCTATCGTTTAATTATTACTCTGCCATTTTATTTTAGTTGGTATTACTATTATTACCACAATTTTGTACTTTATGCATATTTTCTCCGTATGGTATACAGTATTTTGCTATGTAGCTGCTATAACAATCGTTTTATTACTATTATGTAATGTGTATTTTTAATTTTTTTTGTCGTTTTTGAGTAAATTAGATGCAATATTGTACTGAATGCTGAAAATTCCTTACTGTATCATTAGTACTGTTTTTGGAATAAAGCAAAAATTATTATTATTAAAAACAACAGAAAACAGTTAGGCAACATGATTCATTTATTCTTCAAGCGATAACAAAACAGATTTACGGTGGCTAATCAGTGCCAAAGTCTGTAAGTAAACGTTAATATAATATACAGCAGTACTTCTCATCCGTATTTCTCAAATCTTCTGCCAACCAGTACACGATCTTCCTGTCTCCCGCCAAATGGAGACCAGTTCGAACAAACTATTCAGTGTTCACCAGTATTAACAAACACTTACTTTTAAATCCTTTGTCTTTCGACTAGTCATTATTATAAAGTCGGCTGCAAACAGTTTCCACAATGCTACACTGGTTGGTCCAGCAACTAGACTGATGAAGCGATTTTTGGACATGAGCTGGGAAAAAAGGCAACAACATATTTTATTTTCGGCTTCACTGCAAGTGACAATTACACTTTGACTGGATGGATATGAAATTATCTGACACTATGTAAGTTTAAAGGCAGTAGAATAATTTTAAGCAGCTTTATATCCAAACAAAACTTAAATCATTCCATGCTGGAGAAATTTATTTAATGTGACACAGTAATACAGCATTATTAACTGGGTGATATTTCGAGCTCATGATGAAATCCTCCAACTAACCAAACTAAATCCCTGCAAAAACCAATACTTGAGAATTCATCTGATACTCACTAGTGACCGGCCCCATTCAGGTAGTTACCTGGGGTTCTAGTAGGAAGCCGTGACCAATAGGGTGCAGCAGGTTGAAGGTGAGGCAGTAACTCATCGAAGAAGACATTGTGAGGTGGTCGCTGTATGCCATGAATTTGCAGAAGTTAGAATTGATGGGCTGGCCATTGGATCAGGTCCCAGTGGCTTCATAGTCTACGAGCTCGCCTTGTAAGCAGAAGGTCCTGGTTTTGAACCGTGGTGGTAGGTGAGTACCAATGAAGAGTTCCAAATTAGGACGAAACAATTGTCCGGTACTTCTAGGTTTTCCAGTGGTCCTCTAACTGAGGTTTATTAATTAGAATTTACCTAAGTCAATGGAGAGACAAAGGTAGAACAAACTTCTTTTGTATGCAAAGTTTAGGATTGTTCTCTTGAATTCCCATAGCCTCGGCTATGTGTAAAAGGTGCGTACAAATGGTTTGATGGAATGTGATATATAACTTTGAAGGGACATCTTCTGTCCACTTGGTGACCACTATCAATCAAGCGAGACAGAATAGAACTTATTATAGATTTACTTTGTCTTTCCCGAACCATGAAGGAAGATACTCAGTAATACATTTGTTGAGCTGTCTAGTTGTTTGCCTTATATATATTTCTCCATGGGGACAGCCAAATTTGTAAGTGACACAGCTAGGCAGCTTGCCTTTCGCATGATCAGTCACAATTGGTTGGCTGTAAAATGTCAAACAAAGGTTGGTTATAGTATAAGTCCGTCTCACTGATTTAGATAATCTTAGATGTAGGAATTCATTAACCACTTCCCCACTGAATCGCAATTTCAGGAACAGTTGTTTCTTTTTAACCGTTGTTGGTTTCTCCTTATTATACATGGTATTCATGGGTCATAGGTTAAACTGTTAGATCTGGGTCAACTATATTATGACAACACAAATTTAGCTGGATCTATAGTGGTTGACCCCGCTAATTTAAATAATCCAGAAAGTGCGTGTCCATTGCAATGCATTTACTTAGATGTAATCACACGATAGGGCGGGATACGCAAAGGGTATTAAAAAGTAATATATTTGGGTGGAGAGTAAGGTTAATCACTGAATCTTTATTCATCAAATCGACGCCAAACATGTATAGTTGAAAGGATGCAACGCCTATACCGTGTATTGTAGGAAATTGCAATAAACAACAAGTGGGGGAGAAAAATGTATAGAGCAAGTTATGAAGCCATGTGAATGAACTGATACGATTGTGAGTAACAAATTGTGCTCGAAATGTCATCCAGTTATTAATACTATATTACTGTGTGTTACATCAAAAAGATTTCAGTAATATGGCATTATAATCTACCACAGTGCCGAAATTTTAAGCACATTGGAACTTGAACTAATAAACGCCCAGACATAATTGTGATCTAACGTCTTTATATGCAGAAAACGGTCACATTTTATACGACTGAATGCTGCTCAAGTTAACTAATGATTAGGTATGGAGAAGGCAACATGAAGCAAAATTGAACACTACAAAACAATCCTTCCTAGTGTGCTACAACGTATTTTAATTGCAAAGCATTTAGTGTTACAAAAATCTCCTCTCCACGTTTTTAATGGTTTTACCACGTTGTCCATGATAAAGTAGCAAAATTGAACTATAAATATCTCCTATGCCCTGATAATCTAGAGTCTCTCCTAGGGTCCTACAAGGCGACATTTAAAAATTACCATAATATCTGTTCAGTTTTTAATGATTTTATTATCACAAAGAAGGTAGATATGTATGACGAAGGAAGATAAAAGAATAGAAGTAGACAAAGAACAAGAATTATCCAGTCATTTATTTATTGTGGACTTTCTATAGAATATGATTTATTGCTGAAGATATACTACGTGGAATATATTGTACAATTTGTTTCATTGAAATAAATGGAGTTATTTGTGAAGAAAATATAAGTTGAATGAATCGTAAACTTTGTGAAAGAAACGAGGAACTTCACTCATTGCCTTGGACTGTGTATCAGTGAATGCAACGGAAATTCGAATCCGTTACGAAATGAGTTTAGCTTTACCTAAAATGAAATCAGGAAAAGAAGATGGAGTTTCTGAAATTCATATAGACATTGCTGGAGATAGATGAATAGCACTGAATAGGAAGAACCTTAGGCAGTCACTTGTTGACTCCTTACTCAAGTGACTTTGTTTACCATGCTTCATGAGTTGTATAAGTGTGACTTTTGTTCAGAGGTTTATTGCATTCCATTATCAGTTTAATTCTGTATAATTTAATCGTATCTTTTGTTGTTGAAAAGAAATATAAAATTACAACGCTGTTACTTTATGAAATGTTGTTGAAGTATTATTAAATTGATTATTGTTTGAATTGTTAATCAATACAGCAGTTGAATGATTAATTTTATTAACTTCTCTGTATTGTGCTAGAAGTGATTCATCCACTGAATTACGACGGGATATCTCCTGCATTACCTGCTGATGATGACATAGTGTCTTGTGGAAGTGTTCACCTATTTCTTTAATGGGATGTTTCTGCAGATAGAAAAATACAACAGTGTTGAAAAATAAAATAAATATTTGGTGAAGAAATTTGAAACTATTGTGTATCACAGGGGATATGAGTTTTATGAAAGAGTAAAGTCCTGTCATTCAGCAGTTATGGAAATCTAAAATATCTGTGGACAGATTCTTTTATAAGCATTGTTTAGTAGACAAACAGCAATTAATGTTAATAGTTTCAGCTGTGTAATAAAAGATATTAGATTTTACTGAAATTCCGTGGTTACTGCCATTTCAAGTTCAACAAGTAGATGATTCAAATAAGCATTAATTATAATTAGTTTTACATCAGTGTGTGACTGTTCAAATTAGTACTTTCACCATATGTACACCAGTCCAAGTTTTCACATCTCAAAATAAAACACAAAGATTAAGAGAACAGAAATATAATGGTACTACTGCATTTGAGTCGATTAATTCAGGCTTCATACCCCGTTCCACCTACTTCAGCTTTGAGCAGTAGGGTGATATCATCTGCCCTCACACAATAAATGTGGCTCATATCCTAGTACCTGAAAGAAGGCTCTGGGTAAGTCAGCTATCACTCATTTGATAAACATTAGTGACGGAGATAAAAAGTTAGCGTGGGATGGTAATCTTGAAAATTTCGGAGATCACAAAGAGTGAGCACATTTATGACACTGTAAACAGTTCTAAGTCACGTTAGAAGTAGTCTCTCAAGGATCCCAGTCCATGAAATCTACACCTTCCCACGTAGCCCAAAATATCAGTGAGGAACTTCACTTCTGTTTTTACTCAGTGGTTACATGTAACGACAGAAAAATGGGTTCTCCACTTGGTCCATTACATGCCGGTCTCTACAGGGAGTACTTAGAGTCAAATATTCTCCTGCCAACAACCTAACGTTTTGAAGTTTACAAGCGATGTATGAATGATATCTTTATTATCATCGATGAAAATGCTGACCTAAACGAAATCCTGTAACTCTTCAACAACCCTCATCAATCAGTCGAATTCAAAACCTAGTCGGAATAAGAAGGTAAACATCCAGCTTATAGGGTGATCGGATGAAAGCCTACAAAGATCAGTCTGTAGGGAGAAAAAATGAAGTGTACAGCTGACAAATTATCACAGTTTTCACCAATAAGCAGAACAAGAAATCCCTTCTCTCTTGTGACGAGAATCTACAGTATATGCACTGAAGACATTGAATAAGGGAATGGAATCCTCCAGAAGGATATCTAACCTCTTTCATCAATAAATATCTAAAGAGAAAGATCTATACTTCTCGAAACCTGGATGTGCTGGAGAAACGACTTATTTTAAATCTGAAATTCAAGGGAGATAAAATTGGCGAGGTTCTCCAAAGGTGACTGTCGAGAGCAATTCGAAAGACTTTCTTTGCTGTATCACTACGCATCATTTTCTCAGAGTATGCTCTTGTTCACCAAAACTTCAAAGGCAAAATCCAGTTGTTGATAACTTCAATATTCTGTTACCAATTCACATGTTCATGTGGAGTTAAGTACATAGGCCTTACCAGTAGGACATTCTTTGGATGCACCCATGAACACTTACCAGCATGGCTGTTAAAAGGAGAATCTAGGACAGCTCAATTCTGACGTATATTATTACTTCTGGTCATGCAGCATCAACACGAACTTCTTTCACAGTCATACAATGAGCAAACCTAAGTCGTTCGAAAGGATTTCGTCTGTATCTTTTTCGTCCCACAGAAGCCCTAGCAATCCATAAGAAGAAACCTGAACTTTGCGTTCAGAAACGTTTTATCCAGCCTCATTTACTACCATGGCCCTGGCACTATGTTTTTCCTTTTTTTATCTTCCTGAATAACTGTATAGTAAGCTCTGTGTAGTCCGTTTTTTATTGTTTCTATATTTTTGTCATCCGTTTTCAATCATTTGTTCTCTTCGTCCTTATTAACTACTTCCAAACGCTTATCCATCACTGAATTAATTAGCTGTCAACCCTGTTGATTACTTAGGACTGTTTTCAATTTTCCGGACAAAGTTACTACTCATACACTTTGCTTTACTCTCTGTTACTAACTGATAGTAACCTTTGACCTCTGTTGTCAGTTTGAAATGTATATATAACAACTCCACCCAAACTACTGTACAGCTATAAAGTAGAGTTATTCAAAGAGATCTCTTTGCTGCCTCATGTGTTCATAAAGCCTTCAGAGGTTGCCGCTATACGTGGATATTTCCTAACGTAATCAGACTTCCAGTCGATGTCATTCTTGCAGGAAAGTGGTGGCTAGTCATGCGTAAAACATGTTTCAGTTACCTAACTGACTTACCCACCTTCCTTACTCAGTACTCTATGTGCAATCTTAATGTAAATTACCATGTTGCTCTAGTTAAAGTGATTATACTTCGTACTTCAGGTGATAACCAGTAGACAAGAGTCTCAGTTAATTTGAAATACATCTCAGCACTTTACTAATTATGGCTGTTCTTACAGCACAAATACTATACAAAAGATCTCAATCTTATCTGAAGCCTCAGATAAGTGGTTACTAAGTTGATTCATATGACTTTAAAATACTTTCTCTGGTTAAGCAGTCATTTACATATAGAATATTCTGTTTACTGAAACAAACGAACTGAATTTGTTACAGAAAGGTTCAGAGTCATAACTTTACTCAACACAAATAGTTGTATTACAGTTGTTAAGATATATATTTCAAATGTTTGGTAAAAAACCAAAAGTTCTTGGTAGTGATAAGTTTGGTGTGGAATAAAACTACACTCATTCAATTCTACCTTTCCACCATCAAATAGTTATTGACTTTTCATACCGTGAGGGTTTATAAGTGTTCTGATGGTAATAATACTGTAGCTGAATTCAAGAATTGTGAAGATGAGATGATTTAAGATTACTTCCAAAATACCATTCTTGACTAAATGAATTCTGTTACAAAACTGTTGAGGACCACGGTGCACTAGAAAACTGATTTATCCTGGTTTTGGAGTCTCTAGTCATACCCATTCATGAGCTTACCATAGACAGAACCCATGTTAGGATCAGGCGTGCTAACTACTGAGAGGCCTCAAAAAAAGATGACTTAGCTGTCTAATACTCTCTGGTTTTCAATGATACTCTAAATGATGTCAGCAGGTAGCTAGATCCACTCGGAAAAGATTAGATTTAATCAAACTTTCAGGGTGTTCGGTGCATACAAGATTATAATTTAGTAAATACTAATGACAACTATTCCTAATTTACATCATTGTAGTTTGGTTGAAAAGTATGCAATTAACTAATGATAATAGTAAACGATTGGTGGAGTTAGTGCTGCATAATATATTAGGCGGAATGTATCAGAGTGATTGATCACTTACATTTTTGACATCTAATTACTAACTTTTTTTCATGTCTTTTTGGTATAAACCTTATTTAAAGTACAGAAGATCATATATTATTCAAACTGCACATTTCAGTCAGTCAGTTAGTTAAAACTCACTTATCTGGGACAAAATTTATTTGCATTAGGCTGTGAAACACACTTATTGTGCGATACTACCTAATTATCTAAGTTGAAGTATGCGAAGTCACGCTGATATCGAGGAGGGTTTATGGTAGTAGTCAAAGTTGTTTTACTTTTTCCTACTGATTTGTATCACGCCTTATCTAGAGAACATTTGACACATAAATATGAGTTTACGAAATATCTCCGCTGAATATAGGAGTGGATAAATGAGCAAGAAATACGTATTCCTAATTCATTTGATGCAAAAACAAGTCAGTCATCTCACAACACAAGTCTATAAGTTAATTTTAAATAATACACAGTCTATTAAAGTAATGCTAATAGAAAAGAGGAGACAATTCATAGACTTGTCAACACAATTAAAACTTTTATTAAGTGATATACTCCCTGTGTAAATTGACGTATCTGAGAAGTTAGTTTAAATTATGTTGTAGAAAGCGTAACTTACTTTCGCATTTGTACGAAATTTTAATACCCACACAACTATTTCTGTTATCCATACAAGTATACCGAATAACAAACCGACTCCTAAACCAATGAAAGCACTAGACATTTTCGTCAGTGTTAATTTACTTCTCGATGGTAAATTTGTATGCGAACTTTGTAAATAGCACGGTACTGAAGCATTGTAACGTTGTAGCCAGTACTGTCGCATTTTTTCTAATGTCTGGTCTTTTTGTAACTTTAAAATACTTTCAGACAGTAAGTCTCGTAGTCCATTATCTGTGGAAAATCGGAAACACAAACAAAATTGCATTAAACATGTACTTAGGTAGTTCTTATTAGTATTTTTATATCTCCTTGCCAAATGAAAAATCTGAAATATAGGTCTATGATGTATAGATTCATTCGTAACTTATTTTCTGAACATTCTAGTGGTTTTGAGTTCTTTTCATGGAAAGTTAACGTCAAACGATAATAAGGATGACTGGAGGAAAACAAAACACCCACCAAATATCTTCTATTCAATTCAATTACAATTTGATCGACACTTGTCTGTTGAAAAGTCAACTCTGAAACTCATACTAATGGATAATTTTATTAGTGTGAAATCGTAAAATATTGAAAATTACGTTTTCCATTACACATCTATTGAGAAAAAGCATAAGTATAGAAAGGTTTATGATTTGTAGATACTGAATTCTTACAAAAATTGTTCATCAATCCATTGGAAAGTTTAATCCCCTACTAACTAGCAATACATTGTGCACGAGCACTTGATTCAAGAAGTTTTTCCAGGTAAACAGTATGCTTCTATGACAATGTTAAATGTAGCAGTAACCATTTTATTCTCGCCTAAAACTTACTGGAAGTGCCCATTTTAGACCACTTTTTGAATATAACTTAAGTTCCTTGGTTTGAAAGTCTTTATAGGAAACCTATTAGTGATATTTCCGTCATCATTTACGAGGTGATTTGTGAGTTGGTTGGTAATTATAGTCTGTTAACTTTAACATTAAAGGAAAAAGCATCGTCACTTTTGAGGTCTTTTAATAAATCAGGTAGTAGGAATTGATTGCATACCTTAATATTATGATTTATAAACTACAAAATATACTTATGATTTCAAAGGCTGTGGCAAACTGTACTTCTCTACTTGAGGTTCCTTAATGTAACCAAATATTACTTTTGACAGGGATATAACACTACAAGCTTACACATTCAAACACTCTATAATACTATGGGAAAATTTGATAGATCTAATATAGTTTAACAAATGCCAATTTTATCAATATTCAAGAACTTGCAAGTAAATCGGAATTATCTTGGAATTCCTATGGAATTATTTACCTGTGTTAAATAAGTAAGACAAAAAAGAATTCGTACATGTTAAAAGTCTGCTGTATGCGCTAATAACTAACAGTTCTTCATGTAATCATATGAAGCAATCAGTTAAAGTATAGCTATCGTTTTGCTATCTATCTTTTTTGTATATTCTTCTCGACACTTTGTCTGTATGCATCCTTATTGTTTGGAATATACCATTTTTAATTTTTTCGGTTAACGGCAAATCCTTTCTATAGTTTTGGATTAATTCCCTCACTATGGGAAGGTTAAATCAAAATATTACAGATGAGCATTATCTAGTGAAGAGAATGTATATGCATAGTTTAGTCTGTCAGTTGCATTTATTATATAATATCTAATAAAATATTCTGAATCACAACTTTTTAATGTTTCTATAGATTTGGCGTTCGATCGTAATTAGTTTTATGAGCACCTGCTTCACAGAGTTAGCACTGGAACATTTACCGTAATATATCGCTGCACAAAGAGCGTCAAAAATCTGCTACACACATTTTAGGACAAGAATTTTTCTGTAACTGTTTCAGTACACTAAACTGCAGTAAATTATAATGCACAGTTTTTACTTACTTCCTATAGGTAATCCGATTCCATATCCCCTTGGATCCAACAAACCACCCAATGGTGTTAGCTTGCAGTTACGCTGGGCATAATACTCATTAAGTGTAGACTCTAGTATCAAAGCATAACCACCTTCAAGAACACGCGCAATACCCTCTTCTGTTTTGTTAACAAATAAAGATTTGTTCTGGTTCATAAAATTCCACATTCTTTGATAGGTAGGAATATCTGAATGCTTTTAATTGAAAAGAAGGAAATCAATATTTTCAAAAACATTTGCTCACATAAACATTAAAATAACTGTTGCACCGTTATTGTCTGTCGTTTAATTTCCATAGCATTTCGTAGTAAATTTCATGATATATATTCGCCTTTCTTGAGTGTTTAGCCTAGCGTCAGTACATTTCAATCATACATCTCAGTAGTTAAAATAATTACTCACTACAGCTAGTGTTTCTAATGAATTGATAAAATCATTGATGGAGTACTTATATATCATCAGTATGAATTCACTAAACAACAGCTGATCATCCAGCTCAGTATACAAACAATTTGGGGTTTCACAATGTAATTATAATCGAAATCTGCTACGTGAAAAGCTTCTGTTATTACTTATTTGAAGATTTCACGTTATGATCTAGAATGCCAATGCGTAGATAGGGTCGTATTTATCAGGACTGAATGCATTTCTGAAATTCTTATCTTACAGGCCACCAAATAGTATCCAAAGTGAATATTATTAAAGCGTAATAATAATAATGATAATCTAACTTTGAAATGGCTTAGAGCTTTTTAATCTCAAAAGTTTTTAAAATTCATATGGATAAATAAGTAGAATTCCTCATACACAATTTTCTGAAATTGAAAGTACTTCTGATTCTTGAAGTTATTTCGGTGAATCACATTTGAACTTAGTGGATAATTTCAGATGCTAAATGATATCTTTGAATTACACCTTGGAGTGACTGGTTGTTCACGGGGTTATAATCACTGGTATGTGTGTATTTCTAGTACTAACTGAACTCTGTCAGTCAAACTTACATTTCGGTCATTAAGCTAGAAGACTCACCAAAAACATGACTCTGGGAATTTTAAGGAAGCATTTTTTCAAGACGGAATAAACCAACCAATCGACTGAATGAATGATAATTCCTCACATGTTACACAGGCGGAACTCGAATGCATTTTACTGAAGAAAAGTCCATAAATACACAGATAAAAGTATGCACACGTTAACTCCCCTAATCAATATATTTTATTGAATATTGAAAACTATATATCGCTAGTGGTTTGTCGTGGCAGACATAATGTCACTGAGTGTAGTTTTGTGTGATCAAAGTTTGAAACAGAAAATAAATGCCAAGTCCTTATAAGCATATAACTTCTATTCATAAGCGTCTTCAGACAAAATATAAAATGGGGGTGGCGGTGGGCTCCCCATGGGTTCTATTCTGACAGATTTCTTTCTAAGTAAGCTAGAAAATGGACCTCTGAACAACCTTATCAGTAAGCTCTCATTTTATTGCCGGTGTATGGATGACACCTTCATTCATTGTGATACTGACTCAGATGGGTGTACCATAATAACTGAATTCAATGAAGTAAATTCTGCTATGAAATTCACGTGTGAAGAGGAATCCCAAGAAAGAATCGCCTTCCTATGGTAGCATAGAAAGAAATTTGCATAGAAAAAGTACTTGGACAGAACAATATACACATTTTCACAGCTTCGTTCCTCTCAAGTTCAAAAGAAATTTAGTGAAGACCCTCAGCCAAAGAAATAGAGCTATATGCTCAGAAGAAGTTGACGATGAGTTGTGCATTGAATATGGTATCTTGATTAAAAATAGCTATCTCGACAAATTTATCAAGAAACACATGACAAAAAAAGTGGAAAAGGACTACTCACTATTCGTAAACAAGAAGCCTCTTTATATACGACTGCAGTTCAAGGGTGACATACCAAGTGAAATAATTACCAAGAAATTAAGGAAATCATTTCAAAGAACTTTTAATACTGGTGAACTACACGTTTTATTCTTTACACGACCGATCATGATTGCTCGACTGAAAGATGAGGTACCTAGACTGGCCACTTCCCACTGTATCTATCAATTCAACTGCGCTTGTGGAACGAGTTACATCGGCCGTTGCTCTAGGAACTTGATTTTTCGTGCTCGAGAACATTTACCAGTGTGACTAAGTAAAGGTGCAGTAAGAATCATCAATACTTCGACATTAGACCATCTGGTCCAAACCAACCACAAAGCCAGCGTCGAAGAATCCTTCTCTATCATCTACAGGGTGCCTAATAAACTGAGAAAAACATTGAAGTGCAGCATGCTCCAAACAGCAGAGGCTATCGCAGTTCGTGTGAAACAACCAGTGATCTGGGTGCAAAAGAAACAGGTCCAGACACTACTGTAACCCTGACCTTCAGCAGCGCATTCATGAATTTGTATTATTAACTTTCTTAATTTTTGTAATATTCAGTGTATTGTTATATTGGTGCTATCAAACTATAATCCATTGATATTATTATTGATTCGATGTTATTTAAATATTATTTTGTTTTTCATAACATCAATTCACTCACTTTAATGTATATATAACTGTAGAGCCCGATGATGAAGTCATCGAAAAGAGTATTCTTTGTTCAGTGACCATTCTTTTTAAAATTTCAATGGGCATTTTTAATCAGTTAAACAGAGTCTATTCGGAAGAATTAATAAAATCCAAACAACTTTGAATTTAGATGCTTTGAATGGAGTAAACGTGTACATATGTATAAAATATCCTTGCTGAATTTTTACAGCCTAAGAAAACTGTAAATGTTGACATTGTTTCATCTCTTAGAATTAAGAGAACAGAAAACTCTGTGCATTTCAAAATGGACATTGTTGTAGTTATGCTTAACAGTATGTTTTAACTTGTCAGACCTTACCTTGAAAAATGAATATGTTGAACCACCATGTATTGTTCCGTATTTGATTTTTGTCTGACGTGCTAGATCTTCAACACTTTCAATATCTGCTTGCATCCTATCAATTGTCAAAAAAGCGGCCAAATTGGCTGTATATGATGAGGTCATTATTAAAATAAAGAACCACCAAATTCCTCCAATAATTCGAGTTGACGTAGCTCGAGGTATTATATCACTACCTTGAGTGAAAAACAAAAGAAGCGAATTGCTAAAATATTCTCACTAGACCACGGATAACAAATGCTTAATAAATCAGGTTAAAAATTCTAACAAATGAAAACCTTAGTCTGGTGAAAATTAGACACTAATTAAACTACATAAACTAAAGGGTAAAAATCTCTTGAAATCAGTTTTTGTAGTGAATAATTTTCCCATTAATAATTACTTCGGACCAATCTAGAAATTACGATAGAAGGAGTGTTTGTCAATATATAACGATACACTAAATAAATGAAAAGTCTTGTACTGTATTGTTTTGTCTTGTGCTGTTAATGTTAAATTGCGCACTTATAATAATAACTCATTTTTAGAAGTAGGTGACTGGTGGCTATTGTTAAGCTTCGTTAGTCTTTATATGTGTTGTTTACATGAACTGCAGATATCAAGGTGAAAACATGGATTTACAGCCTGAACTTATGTGGAGGTTATTCATCTACATTCAGCTTACACTTACGTTTACACTCATGTCAAAATAAAGATTAATAGAATGTTACAAAAAATATTTCAATTTAATTTTATACTACTAACAAGTAGCAAAAGGCATTATGTTAACAAAATTATATCCTTTCGTTTTAGCTTTGATATTTTTGTTGGTTTGAACAAGGCATTAAGAAGACAAATTTCGCGAGATGATATCATTTCGTAGTTTCTTTACAACCGCTTTACAACTAACATGGTTAACAATGATAAAATAAAGTTCATGAAAATGACTCAGTTAAATAATAACAAAAGTACATACTGCTGAACAATCATATTAAGATAGGTCATGCAGTCCAGGGTAGGCGAAGATTGAAGTCTATTGATTTTTGTACACACAGTTTAGGCTGTATGTGACTAATCCAAAGTGCTTCCATCACCTTCAATAACCTTGAATTAGAGTTATGTGAAATAATTGTGAAACAGTCATTAATATTTATTTTGTGACCAGACATTAATAAGTGTTTTGCAATGGATGATGCTGGATTTCTATTAAGATTAATCGCGTTAGGATTTTCGATATGATTTACTAGCCATTTTGGAATATGTTCTTTTCGACGACATTGGAACATTCTGTTAGTTCTACCTATATAGGTGTCACCGCAGCTGCAGGTGAACTTGTAGATACAGTTTGAAGTAGAGTCCACAGAATTTCGTCCTTTAATCGTAGGAACACGGATCGAAAATGTTCGGCAAGTGAGAAAAAGAGATGCGGCGTAGAATGTGCGTTTGATGGCTGATCGAAGTCTTTGAGTTGTCAACTGCATAATCTGGTCGCCCTTGAATGGTAGATTAATAAAGATGGCTTTCTTTGGTACAGAAGCTGTCTTTTCGAGATGTGGTTTTTTTACTGCGACAAGTGATAAAGCTCTCCGGATAACCATTAGCTAATAAAACTGAATGTACATGTCGAAGCTCATCCATCAGTGTGTCACTCGTGCATATTTTTCGGGCCCTTGAGAACAAACATTTCACTAGGGAACGTTTATACTGGATAGGAACAAAACTGGTAAAATGAAGATATTGTCCAGTCCATGTTTGTTTACGAAAAATAGAGCGCTGAATCGTTCCATCATTTCTCCTAGTCATAGTAATATCCAGGAAACCGAGTTTGTTATTCGATTCTAGTTCGGAAGTCACTCGAATATTTGGATGAATATGATTAAATAGAGTAATGAAGTTTTCAATAGATTTACTATTATTACCAATAATAAGAGTATCATCTACATAACGTTTATACAGCATAAATCCTCCAAGCATACCTTGCATTTGTTTCTCTAATTTCGACATAAATATATCTGCTAACAGGGGCCCCAGAGGGCTCCCCATCGCAACACCATCGATTTGTTTATATGCCTTTTCTTGGAATGTGAATCTAATATTTTCTGTACACATTAAGATGATGTCTTTGATGTAAGTGACGGAAATGGGTAAGTTTATGCCGTTGATTGTGATGTAATCGCAAATAAAATCAACAGTTTCATGAAGGGGAACATTGGTGAATAAAGATTCTATGTCATTTGAACACATAACCTTTTCCTTAATGTTCAATGTGTCTAGCATTTCTGTAAGATCAAATGAACTTTTTACAGAATGATTTGATAATGAGTCTCTTACAGGTGTAAGGACCTTTAATCCATTTGGCGATTTTATGGTAAGGAGAATCTGACATGCCTAAGATGGGTCTCAGTGGGTTTCCAGTTTTGTGGATCTTCGGAAGACCATAAAGCTGAGGAGTATGTGACCCCATTGGTTTAAGTTGTTTATAAAGTTTTTCATTTATAAAACCATGCATCAGTAAAATCTGAAGCTGACGATTGATCTGCTTTTCCACAAGCAGCACATTATCAGTATCATTGTCCACCAGAAATTTGGACTGATCCTTGAGGATATCGTTCATTTTATTTTGATAATCCGATTTGTTCATAATGACAACGCCTTCTCCCTTATCAGGTTTAAGGATCACAAGATTATCTTTTTGGATTAATTCCTTAAGTGCGGCGTGGTGTTCTTTTGATAAACCATTTTTCTGGTGTATTCTAGCATTTAGAAATTGATGAGAAATGTCCACCAGTTTAACTTTAAACCAGTCCAGATTATCTTTACTAGAGGGAGTTAAATGAGAGATTTGGTCATAGAGGTTTTCATACTGTGACTGGACTTCCATTTTGTTAATTTTCATGGGAATAGTTTTGTACTTCAATCCATAAGATGTTGGTGACAATTTCAAGAGAATGATGAGATGAGTATTCGGCACGCAAATGAATTTATTACTTGAAATTTCAAAATTTTATACATAGTTAATAAAACCATGGAGAGTGAAATGAATTCACTCAATACGTCCATCAATTCGTATTTAATGTGATTTTCATACAGCTTGAAAATTCACTCTTGATGTTAATACTGTTTCCCTATGAATGTCATTGCTGTACTACATGTTCAGACCTGTCATTCTGAGGGCAGTTTCACTGTTCATCATTTGATGTCCACTTATCTTCGTTTAATTCATATTACTATTATTGTTATTATTATTAGCGAAGTTATTATTCTCTTAATTATTCAAGATCATTCGTTGCTGATGTCTATATTCACTTCGGAAAGTGACTATCAATACTCCATCTTTTCTTCCTTGTTCTAATACAGTGACATTTTCAATAAGAAGGTATACACGAATGATTGAAATTCTCTTTCAAATGTTTTCCAATGAAAAGAATTTCAAAATGAAACTCAGCTGACATTGAGTATATGTTTTGTCAAATCAATTTATTCATTTAATTGCATAAGAGTATCATGCAAATGTTTCTCTATCCCATATAACTGATAATTGATTTATTAAAAGTTTATATTGAATAGAAATCAGAGAATTGTTTAGAGTCCTTTAAAATATGATTTTCAGTTATCTTCAGAATAAATGACTTCGTGAACTGTTTCTTTTTTTAAATGAATAACTAGAGATAAAATGTTAGCTAATTTACCAACAGGAATTCCGTAGAGTAGAATAGAACACCAAACTCACGTTAGTCTCATTTTAGGCTGTATATTTATTGCCTGTCAGTACATATTTATTTATCGTAATATGTGCATATGTAAAGAGATGTAGGGACCAACTCTTGTCAAATGTAGCATGGGTTTATTACTCAGATATTGAAGGGGAGATTATATCTAGTAATATCTGCAGCATGACAATGTTAGCTAATCAGTAATATGAAGATGTAATCTCCTTTTCTACTTTAATGAATATTTTACTTATTTCCTTTAAAAGTAAGCGCTTTAAATATCATGACTATTCATTCAACATTTATACACCCCGGTGTGATCGCACGTGTTTCATTTCTTCGAATATCTGGTTAGCATGTATTAATAGGGCATTGGTAGTAGTATTAGTAGTAGTAGTGTGACGTGTGTTACTGATAGGACTTATCATCGGCATAAAAAACATAAAATAGCAGGGAGACAGATTTGATGTCAGAAAAAGTAAATAATACACGATTGCGAAGATACCTAGGAGACGTGAAAGAAACAATATGAAGGCTAGAAGTAGCGCAAAATGGAATATTTGTGCAAGTGGTGCGTCGAAGATAAGGTGTACGTAATTTGGTAAATGCGTCGGTGGCATAGCGGTTAGGACGCTTGCCAACCATGCATATGGTCCGGGGTTCCATCCCCGTTCGACGCACTCCTTACCTCGCTAAGCCATAAATAATGCTGGTAAAGAGGAAAGGTTGGGCATGAGGCTAACAACCCCATCCTGTAAAATAAACACTTACAGAAACTTCAAGCCACTAGCTTGAAGCCCTATGTTCCACCGGGGAACGTGAAGGAATAAAAAAATTTGGTAAACATTCCTTTATCAAGTTTTTCGTCTTATACTGTTACATTAGTAGTGGTAGCGTATTTCTAACGGTCATAATTACATTCCTACAAGCTTTTGCTCGACACATTAACAATGACAGCTACTAACTCCAGTTCTTAAACAATAATAGTTTGTTCATTTAAAAATTAAGTACTTTTTGGGAGTCATCGGTAGTACGCACCCACTGGGGTTCGAACCCAGGACCTTCCGGTTACAAGGCAAGCTCGTAGACCATTCAGTCTCTGAGACCTGACTCAATGGCCCATGAATTCTAACTTCTATCAATTCGTGATTTAGCGCGACTGCCACCAACCAATGTCATCGGTGGGAACTCCATCCCCACAGTTGACTGGATGGACCTCACTGGTCACGACTTCTCACTAGAACTCCAGGAAACTCCATCCTGTAGAAAGTCACTAGGGAGCATCAGATTAATTTTCAAGAGTTGGTTTGTAAGGATTAGATTTGCTTTTTACTAGTCTGACGACGGATTAATCAGGTCCCAGTGGCTGAGTGGTCTATGAGCTTGCAGTGTAACTGGAAGGCTCTTTGTTCGAACCCCAGTGGGTGCGTACTGTCGATGATTCCTAAGTACTTTTTAACACATATTTATTGCTAAAGAATTTCTGT